TTCTACAGAAAATTCATACTTAACTTGTTTGGGGAATAAATCACGTATTTATCAGGCCATTTTAGAGGCGAGTAAAATTCCAATTCCTTATTTAATTCCTTACCTCCTTTACCACCCTGAGTGTAGGTCTGTATCATACAGCATAATAATACAAATCATTTTGAAACCATCAGCTGTCTTCCTCTGTTTATTCCAAAACTGCACATGCCTACTATTTGGCACAATACTGGCATTTTGGATGATGGAGACAACCTACTTTGGCCTTTTTGTGACATAGGCTACTGTAGATGAGGGCAGTTTATTTCTGAAAAATGCCAACCTTTTTCTGCTAACAGGTCATGGTTCATTTTCAATAATTCATGCAAGTAGGCTACATTTAAATTTACAAGCGACTCACTTACAATCGGCACAAGACCACGGGAATCAGACAAGACCTCTGCACCTGTGTTGCAGCCTGGAATTAAACCACACCATGCTGGTTTCATCTGGCCAGAGGAGAACTGGCTTCCCGATAGGGCTGGACAATAATTCAATATCAATATGTATCGCGATATAATTTTGACTCAGTAAAGCTGCCTTGACACAATCTGTATTGTATAAAGCGCTATATAAATAAAGGTGACTTGACTTCACATGTGTCTTCAGCTGCTTCTTGAAAGTTGCAGATCATTCCACCAGAGAGGAACAGAGACGGTGAAGGTTTTGGAAAGTGACTTTTTACCTCACTGTGAAAGAACACCAAGACGTCGCTCATTCAATGACCTGAGCTGACAGGAGGAAGAATACACTTGAATTAGTGAATCGAGGTAGGGAGGTGCTGTTTCAGTGGCAGTCCTAATAGCCAGTGTGTAAACTTTATTTATTTCAATTCTGGTCACAACTGGGAGCCACTGGAGTAAGATCAGAAGAGATGTGAATTGAGTTCTCTTTGGGTAATTAAAGACCAGGTGTGTTGCCGCATTCTGAAGTGAAAACATATGCTAATTTGACTGGACTATTGAGAGGCCATAGGGAGTTGGTTGTTGTTATCAGCTTGATTTTTGCCTTCAGAAAGCAGAGTAACAATGGGTATTTTTTGTTCAATTGATTCTGATGTTGGATTCAAGGGCTTCTCTTCCATCCATGTTGTCACTGACAATATGAATACCGTTTTATAGTGGCATCCCATTACTCTTTTTGTTTCTGACATTTGTGAACTAGATACAGTATTTCATTCACTCAAATGAGAATGGAACAAACTTGACTACTTCCTCCTGAGGTAATTTTGTGCAAAAAGGTGCAATTCACAATTTGTACTCATGGTGTTGCTATTGGTCTACCACAGCAGCGATAGAGGCACAAGCATGGAGCACTGAGGAGTCTTGTCTGTGCAGTCAATGTGACTTTTTATTACAATTACAAGTAGTGCTGCGGGACATGTTCTTAATGAAATGATTCAGTTTGACTGGAATAATGGGTAATATATATTTCACAATTAAGCATATAACTTTTCCAGTCAATCAGATGGCTGCATAAATCCATCTAATATTCACTTCACTTGAATGTGCCATTTTCTTCCACACTTTTTCCTTCCACTCAACTCTCTGTTAACATGCTTGGATACAGCACTCTGTGAACAGCCAGCTTCTTTGGCAATGAATGTTTGTGGCTTACCCTCCTTGTGAAGGGTGTCAGTGATTGTCTTCTGGACAACTGTCAGATCAGCAGTCTTCCCCATGATTGTGTAGCCTAGTGAACCAAACTGAGAGACCATTTTGAAGGCTCAGGAAACCTTTGCAGGTGTTTTGAGTTGATTAGCTGATTGGCATGTCACCATATTCTAATTTGTTGATCATCACAATTAAAAGAACCAAAGACTTAAACTACTTCAGTCTGTGTGCATTGAATTTATTTAATACACGAGTTTCACAATTTGAGTTGAATTACTGAAATAAATGAACTTTTCCACGACATTCTAATTTATTGAGATGCACCTGTATATTGCAATTGTATTTATCCATTAGAATTATATATTTTTACATTCTTATTCTGTTCTGATACGGTTAAATTGAAAGGATTTGTTGTAAATGATTAAAATAGAGTCTGGGTACCTTTGCTCCATTTCAGTTATTTGTTCGGCCAGCTGTTGCATCGCGGCGCTCATGCACGCGTCCGGAGGCACGTACACATTCACGAGAATGAAAGAGGAAAACTCCCGCGGCGAGTGGAAAGGTTTACAGTTTATGATGAGTGCCTCTAAATTAGGACAGCGTACCTTTTTCAGCGTTGTTACATGTGAACACCAACTTTCGTTGATGTAGAGAAACAATCCACCACCTCTGGTTTTCCCCGTTAACTCCACAGGGCGCTGGCGCGTTTCCCTCTTCTGCGTCTGCACGCGCGTTTGAACAACACAGCTGTACCTCTAGAATGTCCAACAAAACGTCCGAATAATCAGGACGTTTTGTGTGTTTGTAATTTTAATATTTTTATCTATAGGCCTATACAGCAAAACTACAGAGCTTCCAGTAGGTATGTTATTAAATTGTACATAGGCTATATATCAGATTATTTTATTTACAAGTTTCATGTTTGTGTTTATCCCGTTTTTCCCCCGTTGCATCTGAAAATTACTTTCAGAAAAAAAAAATATATATATATTGCAATCAGGGCCGCATTAACCATTGGGCTAGGCCCGAGCAAGGAGGTGAGATTTTAAAGGGATATTCACCCAAAAATTTAAATACTGTCATCATTTACTCAGTTTCAAGTTGTTCTGAACCTGTATGAATTTCGTTGTTCTCCTCAACATAAAAGAAGATATTTTGAAGAATATTCGTAACCACCAGAAAGTTTCTGGTCCCTGTTGCCTCCAATAGTGTTTTTTTTCTCTCTCTCCATACCATGGAAGTCATCTGGGGTCACAGACACTGTTTGGTTACCAGTAGGCTATTGTTTCAAATACATACGTTTGCATTCAACAGCAGAATGAAACTCATTCAGGTTTAGAACAACAACAATAACTTTAATTTTTGGGTGAACTATTCCTCCAAAGCAGCCTAATATAGCTGCTCTTGCCATTTGTGTCAATAATGTAAATTAAACATTAGAAAGAAAATCACTGTAAAATACATTTATATTTGTAAAATAATGTATATTGAATTTATACAGTGAAGACTATTCAGCTATTTCTAGTCTATTTATTTTATACAATATATTTCTTATTCAGTGCTTTAAGTGTTTGTAGGTCAATTTCTTTGTTCTATTGTAATTCATGACTGTTTACTTGTCTTCAGTAAGTTTGTTTTTACATAGGCTAGTATTTTTTTTTTGAGATATTGGAATTGGTAACAAGAATTATGAAACTTTGATTGGATAAAAATCCTATGTTAAGCTATATCATTATTGTGACGGGGGGCCCTGCAGTAAGTCATAGCCCCAGGGCCCATTGAGGTCTTAATGCGGCCCTGATTGCAATATGGGAATTAAAAGGGCAGGCCATAAGGTATACAATGATGTGCTGTTTTTAAGTCACATGACATTTGAATGTCCGTCCAAAACTCTTTTTCACAGTCACCGTCACACGGAAGACACCTGTTGAAGTGCTCCAGAAATTGCTCTATTAACCTCATTTCTAAACATCTCTTCTAAAGGTTTTTTTTTTTGCAGCATCTTTAAGTAAATTTTATATTTTTATTCACAATTTAACTGTCTAACATAGTTTTACTGTAAATTGTGAAAATATCAATGTTTCCATATGGCAGCAACGCTGTACTACTACGGAAAAATAGGTATGTTGCCATATGACAACGCCAGTGGAATTGCAGTAATGTATTTCCCCATTGGGGTTTTTTATAGATAGTAGCATCAATAATACGATTGCAGTTATTTATTTATTTGAAGTGCTTATTGTATTTATGTATAAATAACAACATTATTTCTTCTTTTCAGAAAATGAATACAGCAATATTTTACTGAAAGGCCAATAGGAAGAGTGCAGAGTTAGCTCTTCCATGAGATGAGAGTGAGGATGAGTTATAGCTTCAGTGAAGGTTAAATGATAGGGATCTACCTTTTTTTTGGTTTGCATGAGTTCAGAGTATATAAATCCATATATTTTTAAAAGAAATTTACATTTAAAAAGAAAAGAAAATCATAATTATATATATATATATATATATATATATATATATATATATATATATATA